ACATATCGCAGTATTCTATTCGGCAAATATTGAAAAATGAGTTCGGGGTAAGTCATTGAAATTCCAAAAAGTGCAAAAGCCTACGCCGCAACAGAAAAAATAGGCTCAAAAAAGCTAAAGAGTTGCTTCGCTTGGCCGGAAGTGATGAACTGGCGAATTCGGTTTTCTCCGATGAGAAAACATTCGTTGTCCAGCAGTTTTTAAACAAGCAAAATGATCGTGTTTACTTTCCAAAGAGGTCAGCTGAAAATGTGCACCTTCAGTTGGCCACCAGAACTCAAGCGCCGGCCATGCCGGACAGCCGATTGTCGCTCTCCGATCGTATTTTTCGACCGTGGCATCAGAATAAATGCCGAATATTATCGCGAAAATATTCTGAAGGGTGTATTAAAGTCTTGGGCACGCAAACATTTTGGCCGCAGACCTTGGACATTTCAACAGGACTCAGCAGCATCGCACTCAGGACGCGCCACCCAAGAATGGTTACAAAATGAAGTTCCTCGCTTCATTTTCACCGCACAATGGCCACCAAAATCTCCGGATATCAATCCGTTGGACTATTATGTCTGGAGGATTTTGGAAAGCAAGGTTGGCACTAAAAAATACCAAAATGTCGATAACCTCAAGCAAGCGCTTCGCCAAAATGGGCCAAAATACCGCAGAGCAACATTCGGGCAGCGTGTGACGTTTTCTTTGGCCGTTTGAAGGCCATAATTCGTGTCAAAGGTGACCAATTCGAACAAATTTAAACTTATTCTAAAATTTGATGCTATTTCCGATATTTTTCCGGCTTTCATTCAATAAAATTTAAAAAAAATGTAAAAATTATGGCTTTTGACTTTGTTGCAGTTTTTTTATCTCAGCCTGTAATGTAGATAGAAGACTCCAAAAACGCCCCAAAGTACTTTGCAACCCACAAAAATATATGTGCCACCCGATTCAATTAGGAAGTAGGGTTTTTGGGTTACAATGAAAGGCCCCAGTGCACCTGCAGCCCCGTTATATTGGCCTCACATCAAGATAACATTAATAGGTGTTTTAACAACAAATAATCGGACGTTTGCATTGCCAAAAACTCATCGATAAGCATTGTTTATTTTTTTGACGTATTTTCGCGGAGTGGTTGGGGGGTTCAAGAGTGGTTTATAGTCCAACCACAACAACAAATACATTACACTTCTATGTGAAAATATCAATTTGTCACAACTTGACTGATTTATGTTCTATTTTTAGAAATTCCTACCGACACAAAAGGGGCATATCTGTTATTTCCGGCATACTAAATTGGTAAAATATTTGAAAAAAATAATAAAATAATAAAAAAAATATTTTGTTACATTTCATTGTTAACTATTTCAAAGAGTTTTAAAAATTAGTTTTTTTTTGTCATATTAATTTCGATGGTTCACTTATTTTTGTGGTTGTTCATTTCAAATGAATAGAAACAACAAATTGTTGACAGCATCATTATTAACTTTTTTTCGAAATTAATAATGCTAATGAAAAAAAATTCTATAAATAGTAAAGCGCAGTTAAAACCCCACCAACTAGACGTGATTAATTCAAATATCCTGTTTTTGGTTTCTTTTACTTTCGTTCGGTAATATTTTTTCCAATGGTCGAAAAACCTGATGGCGAAATAAATGAGGAACGAAAGGTGATACAGAATTGATGGTATTGAAGCAAGACCAGACAAGAGACAAAATGCAATAAATTTTAAATCAGAATCCACTACAAAGCTAGTTGAGTCGATAATGAGAATGAATGATTCTAGAAAAAGTAAAAGTAGGAATAAAATGAAATGTGCTAGGTACGGATATATATATTTTATTATCAGATAAAAGACATTGGGATCTATACAACTATATCGAGCGACATATATAAAATATAGAAGGTATTAGTCGGTCGATATGTATTTATATACCCCCCCCTACTATGACCATATAATTATATGCAGTTTTCATACCCTCCAGCAATCTATGAAGGCTATATTAACTTTGTTTGTTATATTAACTTTGTCATTCCGTTTGTAACTCCTCGAAATACTCATGTCAGACCCAACAAAGTATAAATATTCTGGATAAGCATAAAATGCTAAGGTGATCTAGCCATATTCGTCTGTCTGTCCACTATCCTTCGAACGAATTGAGGCAGAAGGCTAAAATGTTGCATACATGCAAAGTTTATGGGGTTAAGTTCGTAAATGGGCCATGTCGGTCCACGTTTTCGTATAGCCCCCATATGACGGTACCTCCCGTTACTCGGTATTTTCATGATTTTAGTGACATTATTTACCGGAATTATTTTAAATTTTATATTTAAAGTTTGTAACCAGTACTACAGCCTTTCAAAAAAAATACAGGTCAACGTCTTCGTATAGCCCCATATAACGGTTCTACCCAGTATTCGGTATTTTGATGATTTTAGGAACAATTTTTACCGGAATTGTTTCAAATTTTGAATTTAAAGTTCGTAAGGGGTATTACAGCCTATAACAGATCCACGTCTTCGTATAACAGTATATCCCAAAATTCGGCATTTTGAAAATTTTAAGATACCCTTTTTTTACCGGAATTGTTTTAAATTTTGTATTTGAAGTTCGTAATGGGTACTACAACCTATGACAATGCAGGTCCACGTCTTCGTATAGCCACCATATAGCTATACCCTCGATGCTCGGTATTTTGATGATTTTAGCGACATTATTAACCGAAATTGTTTGTATTTGAAGTTCAGAATCGGTACTAAATCCTATAACAGGTCCACGTCTTCGTATAGCCCTTATATAACACTACCTTCTTATATTTGGTATTTTATGATTTTAGCGATATTTTACCGGAATTGTTTCAAATTTCTAGTTCCCTGAAAATGGTGGAGGGTATAAAAAGTTCGACCCGGCCGATCTTTGCTTTTTTATACCCTCATATGGCTACGATTTTGTGCAAACTTGGTACATCGTAATATCGGTCCACATCTTCTGATACCTCCCCCACAAAAAGGTTAACATTTTCAAAAAACTATATATATATTTCTGCACAGAAAGATAAAGGATAATCCGATTTTGCACCAACTTTGTAAATCCTAATATTTGCATTAGTGCTAGGTCAGGTGCAAAAATTTACAATATCGGTCCACTCCATCAAGTACCTCCCCCACAAAAGGCCAACATTTTTAATAATTATAACTCTTATAAAATGTTATGTATGAATCCGATTGTCTTCATATTTCACACTTTCCATTATTCCACTAAAACAAAATCTGCTGTGAAGATGGTATATATCGGTCTACTCTTTTTGGTACCTCCCCCACAAAGGGTCAACATTTGGAATATCCATGAAGCTCATAAAACGCAAAATTAACCTCCGATTCCATTCAGACTTACTAAATCTCCGTATTTCCATCAAGACAAGAACTGTTTTAAAGATGGTAAATATAGGATTATTTCTTCTGCTACCTTCCATACATAAGGTTCAAGATTTTGAAAAACAGAATACTCAAAGAAAGCAAAGTAAACATCCAATTCTCCTCAATACTTACACATACAAAAATTTCCGATTTTTCTTCGCGAATCTATTAAAAAAAATTGGCATGCCCTAATTTTAGACATGGTGTGAGGACAATTTGAAAATTGTTATCAGCCAGTGGATCCTATTAAAGTCACGTGTTCAAATTTTGTTATATTTCAGGAAACATTCCAAACCACTAAAAACATAAAATTATTTACAAAATCTATACCGGAAAACATATTGAAGAACTCTTATTGTCAGCTATTATTTACAATAATATGTGTAAACAAAAGATAATATTGTTTATTACAACAAACATCCATTTGCACCTGGTTATGATTAAACTATAACAAAATGAAAATTACAGCAAATTTAGAGGTAACTCTAAAAAATCCCATTAAAGAGATATTTGGTGTTCAAGTCAGCCTTAAGACGAAGATGAGAGATAAGGCTGGATTTTGAAAATTCATACTACAAGGATAGGAAAAGTTATAGTTATATAGCCTACCCACATATATATTATTACCCACGAAACTGTTACAAAATTGGTATTTAAAAAGATTTGGTAGATGACAATCCTTAAAGTATAAGATTGTTTATAGAAGTTCCCGTTTTTGTATGGCCCCCATTATGGGCTTACACACTTTATGATATTTTTTTTTTTTTTTTTTTTTTTGAAAAGTTTAACAAACGGTTGTCCAAACGGTCTTAGTGGTATTTGTAGTTTAAAGTGGAACACGTTTGAATTCAGATAATTTTATGTAATAATGTTTCCATTACCCAATAGTCCTCTGTCCTCTTTTAGTCTAAATATACACTTAAAACTGTTCGATCTGTACGTTAAACACATCTCCAAATTTATTGAAATTACAATTGCGTGACCTTTTACTTTACACGAAATTTATCGAGGCTACACCAAAATATGGACCTGATCATGGCCATAATAAACGCCACAAATTAAGCCAATTCGCCCGGAAACTGTTACCAATTTGGTAAAAAAAATGGGGAAAATCCCATGATTTTTAAATTTTTTGTTTTATTTCATTTTTACGCGGTTTTATATACCAAATACTAATTATTAATTATAAGTTCATGATTGTCAAAAAATCGTATACCTTATTTGCAGAAAATCTTAAAATGTTTTCTATAAAACTATATGTTTTAAATTTTAAATAAATCATATGCCTTAGAAGATGTGAAGTGATCACGACCTCGCATATCGTAAGTTTAAACACATTTAAGTTAGGTGGGAAAATTAAAAATATCGGTCCAACTACTCTTCGTCCTCTCCCGAAAAAGTCCAACATTTTGAATAATAATAAATTTAAAAAAAACTGAATATCTTGCTTTTCAATATTTCGGACCGTTCCCGAAAAAAATATGAAAAAAAAAAACAATTACATATATACATTATACACATTATATTCTGATGATGCTTTCTTGTGTATTTCTTTAATCTGTGTTTGACCATTACTAGAGGGAATTGTTACTTACTCCAGATGCTGTTTTTCGAAACAAAACAATTCTGCAAACAACAACTACAAAACAATCACATATGTTATCCTCTTCCCACAGCAAAATTTTCTTTTGCAAAAATATCAAATTTACACTTTTTTGTTCACTTCGATTCCACTCAACTTATGAGATAGCACACCACTATTGTATTTTCCGTTTTACTTTTTGCGTTTTAATATCCTTTCATTCAAAAACTACGCATTTTGTCTTTACTTCGCGTTGTTTTATTTATTTTTTTTTTTTATCCTGTTGCTGGTGCCGTCACATGCATACGATGCTGCTTTAAAAATTATTTTTATTCTCTTATTATTATTCCTTTTATTCGTACATTAGTTTGTGTCTTCCAAAAAAAAATAGAGACAAACAATCAACCACCCGCGTTACAAGATTAACGGCTGCTTAGAAGAAATTCCATTTATTATGCGGCTAGTCTTTCATACGTCAACATCCATGCGACCGACCGTTATGTTTATTATTCGCGTTTTGTTATTGTTTTCTCGGCTTTAGTTTAAATTCATTTAATAATCTTTGGCTATCGTCGTCCGCGCTAAACGACCAAACAATTTGTTTTCTGAGTCTATATTAAGACAACAACCGATGACGACCAGCACTCACCTCATGCCAGATTAGAACTAATAGAGCAGACTACTGCCGACCGCCAATGACATTTGCCAAAGGTTTGATAACGACGACTGGCTAGTGAGTGTTGAATTATGAAAAAAAATATGTGACCGGCCGAGTGTACAATTGAATGGAATTACAACAGCAGCAGTAGCAGCAACAAAAATAACGACGACGACGGCGACTCAACTACAATCCCCAAAAACAATGCAATCCCCATTGTGCTCCAGCAACAAGTAACTGACACACAGAACAGAACAATACTGTCATTCTCTTTCACACTCTCGGGAATTTTAGCATTGGCACCAATACAAAACATTAGTGGAAAGTTGTTCTTGTAAATTGTGATGTGTTCTTCGATGCTGAGCATAAATGAGAGAGAGTGAGAAGAAAGTCAGGCAATATCAAATTTGGAAATGACTTAACATATATTATCCCTGCCAAAGGGAGAGTGAGTGATAATGTCATAACAATGAGTGTGTTTGCACATATGTATGAGTTTCGTTGTTGATTGTTATTAAATATGCGACATATTAATGACGGGCTAAAATTAACAAGATGTTTGACAACCAATTTCAATTGATTATTATATCACTTGCATAAAACGTCATTACTTGATGTTAGTATTAAACCGGAATACGTTATATATTCCAGTTATCAATGTTAGTAGCTAGCCGATCATCTTTATTGTTGGTAAAATAATAATAATAAATTTTACTACTCGCAGAATAAACAAAACTACATTCAATGAAAATATATATTGGCGGACAACTGGCCTCATGTGCCTACTATATATTATATTCACTATGTTACAGTTGAAATTTTCAACAAATATACTTTAATATTAGTTCTATTTAAGAGCTCAAAAATTGTTATTGAGTAAATGTTCTCAGTAAAAATTTGTAAAATCTTAGTAATGGTCTTTGGAGTTATCGAACGGCATTTTGTATTAATTTTTACAAATTATCATTAACTGCATTTAAATAAATACTGTTATTTATATTTTAACAGTACGAAGCTAGTACAAAATCTGAGTGACAATTTCATGCATTCACTTACAAAAAGTAAATTATAAAACATTTTCAACTTATTTCGCAAGTCAAAGTGGCAATAATAATAATTGTTTTTAGACATCTGAATGCGGACTACTTTGGTTTGTCAGAAAACTTGTGAAAAAATGTAATGTCGCATAGAAACAATTTGAGAAAATTCAAATTAGAAAACAAAACTATTGGAAAACAAGTTAAAAAGTATCAGTCGGTTTAGCCGACAGATGTATACCCTCAGACAATTTTCGATTATTTAAAATTTATATTGACTTGTGCTGTGATGAGGAATGTGCCAATATTGTCTATTTCGTCTTGAACCTAAATAAATATCATATAAATATTGCGATGTGCCAGGTATAGTCCACACCTGGTTACTTTCTTCATTTTATATGGGATATGTGATAATTTTAAGAAAATTTTAATATGTACATGAGGCTCTAGAAACAGGGTGAGATGAAACTCACTCGTCCAAACAGCTGTTAAAATTATGCCAGTGACAGCTCATTATATTGTTTACAAGCGTACAAAAGCATTTTGATGAGAATTTTCCAGAAAAAAAGTTATTCGTGATGGAATTCAAGCGTGATAGCGTGATTTCTTTATATTTGGCTGGAAAACTACAAGTGGCTATCGTTGGAGCACTCCAGCATTTAAATGTGAATAAATCTTGTGTGTCTCGAAACATCGCTCGTTACCGTAATTCTGGTGGCATAGCCCGACGTCAAGAAAGTGGACTGAAGAAAACAGCAACAAAAAGTAAAAAATCATTAAGTTCGGCCGGGTCAAACTTTTAATACCCTCCACCTTAGGATAAAGGAAACATTAGAGCCTATATACCAATTTTTAGACATATTCATGGGAAAATGTGCCAAAAGTCATCAAAATACCGAATATTGGGAAATTCGGCTATATGGGTCTATACAAAAACCTGGGCCTATACATACAGTGTTTCGACAAAAGAGCTAGAACCCATTAAAACCATTAAAATACCGAATATCGGGAGGTACCTTTATATGGGGGCTATACCAAAGCGTGGACCTATACATGCAATGTCTCGCCACATGAACTAGGACCCGTTATGACAAATCCAATACCAATATACCAATTTTCAGACAAATCCGTGAAAAATTATGGCATAAATCATCAAAATACCGAATATCGGGAGGTACCGTTATATGGGGACTAAACCAAAACGTGGACCGATATATCTCATTTTCAATACCAACCATCCTAGACACAATACAAATTACTCTGCTAAATTTTGGCGCTCTATGTCAAATAATGTGGGCTGTATCGTGATTTCAACAGACAGGATGACAGACAGACAGACGGACATCGTTAAATCGACTAAGAATTTTATGCTGATTATGAATATATATACTTTATGGGGAATGAATGAAACGGAATGACAAAGTTAATATACCCTCCTTTCCAAAGTGGAGGGTATAAAAAGAGAAAGAAAAAAAGAAGCAACTTGATCGAAACCCGCGTCGCAGTGGCCGAAAATGGCTAGTGAGCTGAACATATCGCAATATTCCATTCGGCAAACATTGAAAAATGAGCTCGGAGTAAAGCCATTGAAATTCCAAAAAGTGCAAGAACTTACACCGCAGCGGAAAGAAAGGCACCACAAAATACGAAAGTGTCGATCACCTCAACAGCAGAGCAACATTCGGGTAGCGTGTGACGATTTCATTGGCCGTTTGAAGGCCATAATTCGTGCCAAAGATTACCAACTGGAACAAATCTAAACTTATTCTAAAATTTTATGGTATTTCCGACATTTTTTGCTTTCATTCAATAATATTTAGAAAAATGTAAAAATTATGGCGTTAGACTTTGTTACCGTATTTTTATCTCACAAAACATATATTTTTTTATGAAATGAAAATGTATCTTCCTTTTGAAAATCGTTAATTGTTAAGAATAATTTCAAAATAAATGATACAATTATTTATTTTATTTATTTATTATTAAAAATAATATAATTGTTTAAATTCATCAGCATCTAACTCTTCCATTTCCATTCATTTCTTCTTCTGATTCTTCTAAAATATGTTAAAGTAACATATTTTTAGATCTTCGAAATTTTCACTCTGCTGTTGTCACTTTTCTTTAGTGTAGATCAAAAAAATAGATCATATTCATTAGATTCACTTGTGATAATAAAATCAATTTACACAAGAGACCTCTATCTTTTTTTTTTTTGTGTTCCCAAAACGCCAACAACTACAATCAAAATTTCGTATTTCTTTTCCAATCTAAACTAATCAGATGAATTTTCGTGCCTACACGACCGAAAGGTCTTTGAAATATGCACACATCCGTACATTGCTACTGTTCCATTTTCCATATTTATTGGGTGGCGACATGTGTAACCAAGTGCATTTGGAGTGCAATTGTTAGATTAGTTAAGAAAAGGTAATCACTGAGCTGCAGCACAAACGTTTTCACACCCAAGAGGGTATAGAACATATAAAATAACAATTTTTGAGTCATTCTACTTATTATTTGAAAAAAAAAAGTTTACTTCAAAAGCATGAGGCAAAAGGTTAAATCGAAATAATGAAAATAAAAATCAATTAATGAAAACATGGCTATAGATAAATATTTTTAAATGGGTTATCAAAAAAATATATTTTGTTTTTGGTAATACCTACACCAAAAAAACCAACAACAAGGCCACGTATTTTCGGTGAACAAAAGAAATTTGTTGATGGAAAGTCTTTAATACTTAGCCTACTTAATTTATTGTTATCAAAAAGATAATCTACTGGCGTTTGAGCACGATGACTATTGATTTTAATCAACCTATATTTATTGAACAAAGCTAAAATCAAAATTTTCTGTAAGCATTTTAACGAAATTCGACTTTTTTTGTTCTTATGTACAGTTTTTACAGATGTGTTTTTTTTTAATTATGGATTTCAAGGCCATTCAGAGCTTTTTATATATAGAGCTTTATACATAGATTTTTATATATTTTCTCGAGGTCATCTATAAATGGAAAACCTTCAGTTATTCCATACATACAGCTTCTAGAGATTTTATAACAAACAAGTAAAAAAGCTTTAAGTGCGGCATGTCCGAACTTTGAATACCCTCCACTATTTGGAATGAATCTGTAATTTTCAAAAAAAAAAATTAAATCCGATAAAAATTCTTATAAAATCTTAAAAATACCGAATGAAGCCGTAATATATTAGGGTGGATACGACGACGTGGACCTGCATAGGCAACTTTTGTCATAAGCCATTACAATATTCAAATGCGAAACTTAAAAAAGATTCAGTGAATAATGTAGCTAAAATCATCAAAATACCGAATATAGGGAGGTACCATTATATGGGCGCTATACCAAAGCGTGGACCTGCACAGACAATTTTCTGTCGTAAGCTATAGTATCCATTACGAACTTCAAATACCAAATTTGAAACAATTCCGGTGAATAATGTCACTAAAATAGTCAAAATAACGAATATCGGGAGATGTCGTTATATGGGGCCCATGCCAAAACGTGGACCTACATGGCCCATTTTCAATACCAAAATTCCTGCGGACTAATATTGTTGTATACGTTACGTATTCAATAACTACTAAACTACTATCGATGTAAGCATATGTAATAAACACCATCACTCAGTTGTTATGAGTTACCTGAAGGCAACAGTTGTTTTACTAGCAGACCGGGATATATAACAATTATGGCGACGAGTGAACCAAAACCGCGTGGCAATTTTCAAATGGAGCCATTTGATGAAAAGGCTACAACCTGGAATCGTTGGGTGAAATGATTTGAGACGGCGTTGGCGATTTTTGGTACGAGCGAGGCGATGAAGGCTAAATATCTATTACATTTCATGGGTACAGAGGCTTATAATAAGCTATGTGACAAGGCTTTACCCTTGATACCAGAGGAATTGCAGTATGATAATATTTGTGAATTGCTGGAGAAGCATTATAACCCTAAACCCAATGAAATATTTTTGAACTTTAAATTCCACTCACGTAAGCAAGAACCTACAGAATCCGCCGCAGAATATTTAG